GTCGAAAGAAAATAATGAAGTTAAAGTTCTTGTGATTTTCCTAAGGTATTCTTACATGCAAGCAGTTATTTGTCTCAACGCTATTGTATTTTTCTTTTTTCTTCCTATTCATTAATACTTAATCAACTGTTTTGAATGAAATATGCATATGGTTTTTGTATAATTATATATCTCATTTATTGTGTAATGTTTCATTGGTAAATGTGCTGTTAGTGTTAGTGGCTAAGGTTCAAAAACATAGAAAGTAAAATGTTAAAAATTATAAAGTTTGCAATCACAAGATCTAGAACTTTTTCAAACTTCTTTTTTTTTTGCTGGGGGGAAGTTTATTGTTACGCTCTGGAGCGCTTACAATGTAGAAATACAAGTTTAAAAAGACACACAAGATCACAAATGTTAACAAAGAAAAAAAAATGGATGGAATACCACAATTAATCGACTAAGAAACTGAGGTTTACGTTATGACATGTCCAAGATAGGATAAGATAAAGAAAAAGGGGGCGAAAAAGGGTACATAAATGCTGTGCTTCGCACCGCATTAATTATCTTAGTGCTCTTTTTAAAATTCCATAGAAGATGCTAGATAAATGAATATTATTCCATTAAAATGATTAGTCTCGTATAAAACACTTGCAGAGGTGAAAGACATACTGATGTTATGAGAAAGAATTTGTCTCAAAAATATAAGATGAAATTATTCACTCAAAATTGATAATATACCAAAAAGCAGTGGAATATATTGATGCATTTCAAAGTATCTTCCTATTAGATAAAGTTCTTTCTTTTTCTCTATTAAATTATATATTTCGATCAATTACCATTAAGTTTACTGATAGGAGTCAAAAATTTTCAATCGACTTTTATTATGTCCAAAAACTACATGAATGCGATAGAGCAAAATATATCTTTTGTAGAACTTTAAAAGATCTATGAAAAAAGAAATAGAGGAGGCAGATCAAACAAATTGATTCAGTCATCTATAGATAATTAGATCAAAGTGAAAGTTTTGTAAATCTCCTAACTTTCTTCTTAACTGATGATTTACTTCGAAAATATTGATATCAAATGCTGTCAAAATTTGATGCTTTTCTTTAACCAAAAAGTAATTGACTAAAGGCAATAGTTCCTCAAAAAAGAGCAACAACAATTATATTCGATATGAAAAGAAAAAGGCGTGCGTAATCTGTGGAACTATGAGTCTTCTTTAAAAGACAACAGTTGACGAAATTAACTTTATCATTCACTGGACTTATCTCAATGTATGAGGAAACAGTAGTTAAGAAAAAACACATTTTTTATATGAGCGCATAAGTAAATTTATAAAAATCATGTTTTTTCAGAAGAATTTGAACATTTTGTTCAAGATTTTTATTGATAAATTTACTAATAATCAAAAAATTTGCGTATAAATACTATATTGTATGGAAATAACTATTAAGGCTAATGATTCAAATATTTCTTTAACTAGCGAATACTTGAATAGGAGTTAACAGACATGTTTTTTTTTGTTTTTTGTTTTCAATGCATAGTTTTTAAAACAACCAATAACATAACTATTAACTACTTCTACCAGCGTTCTGCAAGATTTTAGCATTATCATTTTACAGATCGTGACCTTGCAAAGTTCTCTTTTTCTTTTGAATAACTTTTGAAATATTTATATTCCAAATATTCAAACACAAAATATAAGATTTTCTTAAGGTTAATTAACGAATAGAGTGAATATTTGTGATCCAAGTCAATTCTAATTTTATCTGAATTTTCAATTATTCAGGAGAAATATATTTATTTAAGATTAGAAGATTTAGCTGATAATATCTCAGAGTTTCTGAATTTCGTCGATAGCGAATGCCTGAGAAAGAATGTCTTTGCAAGAGTTCAAGAAATGACATATTGAAGAAAATCAGGTAATCTTATATTACAATAAAATCGAATGATCGAGTTTATGATCCTGATGATTTTTAAAAGTAGATATCAATGACAATTATTAGCTAGAAAAATGTGGATGAGATTGATTGATTTATTCAGAAGAGACAGACAATAAACTGTAACTGTGGAAAAATATTTTTTTAATTTAGAAGATTTGCAACGACTTGCTTGTTGAAACAAAACGCAAACTAAATTGATAATTGTCCCAAAATCAAAAAAAAAAGAAACACTTCTCCAGAATAAAAAGTGAAGAATACAACGAATTCCTAGACAATAGAATGTATGGCTTTGGAGATGAACCGAAAACTCACACCTTATTGCATATATTTCTGTTTAAATTAAATTTTACGAGAAAAAATTTTTTTACTTTATTTCGTCACATGTATGCAAAGTTTACTGTGTCAACAATAAAAAAACATATTTGAAACAAAGTTAAATAAGTTAGAACACAAAATTTAAATCACGAAAGTAGATTGTGAGAAAAAAAGTTTTGAAGCTAATCGTCTCTCCTATTCTCAGTAATGAAAATAGAACAGGATTCAACATCATACTATTCATTGAAACAACGACTTCTTCCATAAACAGATATTAGTAATTTTGAAAAAATGAATAAATATAGATAGGCATATGAAAAAAAAAATGATTAGGTAAGATATAATCATTTTTGTAAAGTTGTGATGTTATATGTGATTATCAAACGATGTTCGATGGAATATTTTGCAAAGCGATTAGATTACATTTATAAACATTTACCAATTATCCAAAAATAAATTTTAAAAAAATTAAATCAATTTAAAATAAAATCTAAATATGTTTGAAGTATTCTAGAATGTGTTTACAAGCCTTTTAGTATCTTTAAAATGTAACAGGAACACGGTGCGATCATTTTGTTACAGAATATTCTTTAGTGATGATCGGTTTTTCGTTATTTATGATTTATTTTTTATGAAGTCAAGCATTTTGATGATTGTATTGTTGAGTTTTAACTTATGCTTTTCATTAAAAAAATTCTCAGAAATTTACAATCTAAAATAATTTTACAGAATAATACCGCGCTTGTCAGGCATCGAACTGAACTCGAACCTGTGGAAGTTGGTTTGATTCCCTTTCTGATAGTTATCGTTAAATACTGTCCATGATGAATTGCTTTTTACATTAAAATACTCAATTTTTTTCTTTATTATGAAATTCTTTTTGTATTGATAATAAAATAATAAAAAATACGAATAATAAATCAAGAAAAAGAATTGTTATTTGAATAAAAAAGAAACAAGTGTGTAGTGCGAGACTTTTTGAATTTATCATGTTCAATGGATTTTCAAAAAACAGTTCAATAGGATGAAGTATGGTAGTTGCTTTTTACATATAATCTACTAAACCAAAACGATTCAAAGAGTGTAGTTGTGGTTAAACAGAATATCAACATCTATACTCACATTCTTCTTGATATTATTCAAAGTACTGGTTATAAATGCAAGTTTTAATCCAGATTTGTGCAAATTTCTCTTAAACTCTAACGACATGGTTTTAAAAAGTTTTCTTTAAAACTTCAATGGCTAAAATATGTTCAATGGATACATGTAATCGACTTATTTACTAGTTAAATCAATGATTGAAATCATAACAAAACATACGATATGAAATATAAATCAATAAGCCAAATAGAAATTAGAGCACAAAATAAATGACAATCTATTCTGATTGATTTAGAAAATTTAGATATGATTGTTATAGTAGAGACCGATTCTCGTAAAAAGAAAAAAAGTAGATAAATTAATTCTTGTTGCTATGTTTCCATTTTATGAATTGATATTTTTAGTCTTTATTGAAGGTGTGGGTATGGATGACAGGGAGAGAGTGAGTGTATATAATTCATCAACATATCCAAACAACTTCTACATCCACACCAAGACTATGATAAGATATATCGTATTTTAAATGTGTTCAAGTAAATCAGCATATAATTTTTCTAGATTCGATTCATTTATGAATGCTTGTTCAAATTAACGTCAATGTTCAATATTCATTAACTAAAATAAATAAAATAGATTTTGTTTTTTGTTGATATAATTGATATTTGCAGATTTTCTTTTAATATACCTGCAGATACTATTTTCGATCAGCAATAAGAAATAAACGATTGTCTGATTCTTCGAAACGAACACTGAAACGTGATAACATCAATAAAGACCTAAAAAAGTAAAAGATATACTATATTATCAATGAAAATTCATTTTGACATTTGATGGCGAAATTTATTGATTTTGTATTGATCGTCATTCCTTTGGATTGCAATAAAGAGTTTTTGTTTTTCATTAATGTTTTACTATTTATCTTTTCCAAATAAATTTTAATTGTATGTGTAAGTCTTGATAATTTTTAAAAAGAAAACTACGAAGAATATTTAACCATAGGCAGAAAAAAAAAATAGTTCATCCAACAGCCAAAATACGACTTCACTCTATTTTACTCAATAGAGGGTGTGGGTGTGGGTATCATTATAGGTCTTGTCTTCACCCACACCCACACCCTGTGATAGACATGCACTTAACATAAGACAAGTTAACCCCCATATAGCCATACATAGTGATTTTCTTTGTGCAATATTTGTCATTGATAATAAAGTCCATTCATTAACTTTAGCTGAATAACGTGCATTAATTAAAGCACGAAAAAAAAACTAATGTGTGCAAGTAATAATGATAAAGGACGTAATAAAAGTAAAGCTTCATATGCTAATGTTGATGATTGTTTTGTACGTGCATATAATTCTTCAACCAGTTCAATAAGAATATTGTCTGATGATGATATTATTGATGAACTATCAATTATTCTTTGTTCTTTATTAACATGTTCATTATTTAATGAATTTTGTATTTTTATTTGGTCGTTGTAATAATGTATAAATACATGAAAGTATTAATACCATATATCATTTTTGGGATATTGACCAACTATTAAAAGTTTTTCAAGACTAATTGATATAATTTTTTGTGTTAAATTATCATCATTAATTAATGATAATAAAATATCATATGAATTTAAATCAACTTCATGAATAAACATGATGCTTATGCATGAGTTTTAGTTATTAATTTATAATTACGTTCAATTAAATGTATATATAATTCATTATATTCTTTTGTTGTGTGTTCAAGTAATATACTAGATTTACATAAATTATAACTTATTAAGGATATTATTAAATCATCTTCATCAAACCATGTACAAAAATATTCATCATATAAATTTGATAAATGTTGTGATGATGTAAATAAATCAGATAGATATATAATTGAACCTATTAATTTATATTACATATATTTCAATTAGAATTTGTAATGATAATGTTAAATCAAGACCATGATGAAAAAATAATCGATCAAATAAACTCTAAATTATATATTTTTAAAGATAGATGCCAGAAAAGAAAATGTCCATACTCTAATTTTCTGATTGATAGAATATATTTGAAATTATTGATATAAGCTTTTATCTATATGAAATAAGATAGTTTGCATGTATTATATATCAAATCAAAGTCAGAGAAACACTAGATTTTCTATTTGATGAAATTAATAATTTAGCAATGAATTTATCTTTCTTCTAACTTAGAGTTCTATTTGTCGATTATTAAAACATATGTGAGATTTACATTAATTGATAATGGTAATGTATTATTGCTTTGGATTGATGTTAATATAGTATCATTTGAAAGTTGTCCATAGGATAATAAATCACGTGTACCTAACCGTTCAATATTTGTAAATAAATTATTTGAACTTGTATCTAATGTTGGACGTGTTTGCATATATTGACCACCGATAAAAAAACAAAACAGATAAAATCTAGTTTATTTTTCAATCTTGTTACCATTGTGTTGCATTTGTTTCTAAAGTTTCTTCTATTTCTTTTATAATTATTTGTCGTTTGTTTATTTTCATCATTAGATTGATTTGTGGTGAATTAATTGAAGCTAAAAATGAAGCCTATATTTCTTGAAATTGTATTCTTAATAATCAACCAACTTCAAAATTGTCTTTACATAAATATTGGTAAACAAAATAATAATATAGCTATACAATATAAATCATGTCAATAAATATATGATATATATAATTTTTCTTGTTCACTAATAAAGATGATCTTTTATCTGGTTCAATTAAATTAAAATATGATTATAATATATTTGATATAGTTAAACCATGTCGTTGATAAAGATATTCAAATATTGATAATAGTATTTTCGATAATGTACAACATGATATTATTTGATCTGTTTCACAACTAAGAAATGATGTTTTTTTTTTGAAATATATTTATATAAATTATTTCTGATATAAATATTATAAAACGTAATAAATTATGTATATCACCTGTTGAAAATTGACATGTCAATTCAACATGATTTCGTATTGTATCAAAATATATTGATATAGAATCTATGAATGCAATTGAATATGGTTGATTATTAGAAGCATGATAAAAGACTTTTTTTCATAAATTGTATTAGGTGTTGTTTCAATATCATTTTAATTTGTTTCATTTGATATAACTATACAAAATCCTAGGAAAACAAAAAAAGAACAGATTTATATTGTTTCTTATTTTTCTCAAATTAATTTTCATTTACTATAAGAATCATCCTAAAAATTTAATGCTGTGGAAAAAAATCCAATACGTTTTCGGAGTTCACGAGTTCAAACTTATAGAGAGTTTATCGAAATTCTCGAATGCAATTTATTTCGAAATATTATTTTCGATTGCAAATAAATAACACAATCGAAAACATCTTACGAAATATAATATTAGAAAGACGTCGTTTTCTTTAACTGTAACAGTACAAATAGCACGACTGAGAATTTGATCAATAAGATTCGAGAGGAATTATTCGGTCATTGTACTAATGTAGCTTCAATGTTTTCCTTTACGATTTGTATTACCTGAAATTCTGCATGTTTTCTATTTCAAAATATTTTTCGAAATTTTGAATTATTCAAAAGTCTCATATATTACTAGCACATAAACAATGTTAAAGTAAAAAACAAAAATTTCTTTTAATTGGATTAAAATTTTTATTATACATATATATTTATTTATTTCGACAAATTAAACTAAAATATACCGATGACATCATAAATGGTAATCAGTTTTTATAAGTTATATTTTTAAGCATTTGTTCATAAATTTTTCTTGTTATATCCATAGGACAATTAAGATTATCAAAATCTTCTTTAATACTATCAATTAACGTTGTTATTGATAATAGTTATAAAATTAATGGTAAATATTTAGATAATAATTGTTTATTTAATGGTAATGGAAGAAATTGTTTAATTAATAAAACTAATACAAGACCACTTTCATCTAAATGTGTTCCTTCACAAACGAATAAATGACTTGCAACTGATGTATGATGTATAAGACCAAATAAATTATGTCCATATGTACATGTATCATATTTAAGTAATAATTTTATCTCTTCCTTTTCTTTTTTTCCTTTTCCAATCAACAATTATAATTTATTAAATCAAAATCAAAATCAAA